GCATATTCCTTAGGAGATAAGGATTACAACAATAAAGGGGATGATTATCCTAATCCTATAATGATTAGGATAACTACAACATATGGATAAATACAAGGGAGGATAATGACAAGTCTTGGCCGCCTGATCTTGGGACTGAAGTAGACTGATGTGGTCTGGTCCATTTCCGGATATGTCCCAACCACCATTTCTTAACAAATTATATTTTGTTGGACTAATAAAGAAAGAAAGTCTAATTTGATTGAATGAATAAAACGAAAAGAGATTTACTTGCTTAAATGGAAGATAATCTCAGTCAACTAGAAGAAACAAATTAAAAAAGATGAGCAAGGAGGATGAGGATTTATTACTGAGTTCACACAACGCGTCAATGTTAATTTTTACAAATGGTAAAACAGTATGTGTGAAACACTCGTGGACGAGACAAAAACAAAGCTTGCTTCCTTTCTCTCTCTCCAAACTCCAATTCTGTTTTGTTTTTTCTTTTAATTTTCCAGTTCGAATCTGAACAAAAGTCCATACTTTGGAATCTGAATTCCCCTCCTTTCTTTCTGGGTTACAGCTAAAGTTTTCTCGATTTTTCGATTTTCGTTTCCTGTTCATTGATTTCGTTTCAAACAAAAAAGGGCCTTTTGCAAGTTTTTTTTTAATTACTATTCCATTTTCCAAATTGAGTGGAGGAGGAAGAGATGGGTTGTTTCTCGTGTTTCGATTCGAGTGATGACGAGAAGCTGAATCCAGTGGATGAATCCAAGGCTCAGAAACAATCACAACAACCGACACTATCCAATAACATCTCTGGACTTCCTTCAGGTCTTTTTGATTGAATCTGATTTAGTTTGGTTACATGCTCTCAAGATCTGGTCACCTGTGTATACTCTGGTTATAGCTACTTGTGAGATGGTTTAGCCTTTTACTTGTCCAAAGATGATTCCTTTGCTTGATTTTTACTTTAGTTTTGATCTGATTGGGATGTCCTAGTTGTAAAGGTTCTGCCTTGGGAATCAAGATCAGGATCTTACATTTGTTGTCCTGAAGAGATTGATACAAGTTTTATGCTTTTAGGGTTGATTTTGTTCTTAGGATTTAGGTTTGATTAATTGGTACTAGGGATTAGTAAATTTGATTGGTGTTGGTGATTTTTGTAGGTGGGGAGAAGCTTAGCTCAAAGAGCAATGGAGGGTCAAAGAGGGAGCTGCTTCTTCCAAGGGATGGGCTTAGTCAAATTTCTGCTCATACATTTTCTTTCCATGAGGTAGCTGCTGCGACTATGAACTTTCATCCTGACACATTCTTAGGTGAAGGTGGTTTCGGACGTGTCTACAAAGGAAGGCTTGACAGCACTGGTCAGGTAGCTCTTTTTTTGTTCGTTTGAGTGTGTTACATCACATTTATATTTTTTCAAGTCTATACTTGAGTGTTAATAGATGTTTGGCATGTTATATATGTTGTTATGAGTACTTGCATACCTGAGTGTTAACAGTTCCATGTTTGTGTTACTTTTAGGACTCAGTTGGTTAGCTTGATGAGTTTGCATACATTAATGGTATTGTACCTCTGATCTATTTTACCTCATGTCTGTCAGGTTGTTGCTGTTAAACAACTGGACAGGAATGGTCTACAAGGTAACAGAGAGTTTCTTGTAGAAGTTCTTATGCTCAGTCTTCTTCATCATCCCAACTTAGTCAACCTTATTGGCTATTGTGCTGATGGAGATCAACGCCTCTTGGTCTACGAGTTTATGCCCTTAGGATCATTAGAAGATCACCTCCACGGTAAATCTCCTGCTTTTTTTCTTTGTCTTTCACCATTTTAGGCCATAGAAATTCTCTGTGATCTTAGTCAACTATAAACTCAAAGACTCTTCATGATCTTAGTCAATGTCAACTCTATATTTAGCAGAGTTTTCATTCATTTGTTTATTATCATTACCTATAAATTATCCATGTAGCCTCAAGTTGAGAAGTAGTAGTTGCTGGTCTTTTGGCAGCCTCTAGCAAATTGACTTATTATATTTTAACCTTTTGGGTTTGTCCTCTGCCTCAGATCTTCCACCGGATAAGGAGGCCTTAGATTGGAACATGAGAATGAAGATAGCTGCTGGTGCGGCCAAAGGTCTGGAGTTCCTACATGATAAGGCAAACCCTCCGGTTATTTATAGAGATTTTAAGTCATCAAACATTTTACTGGATGAGGGTTTCCACCCAAAGCTTTCTGATTTTGGACTTGCTAAACTCGGACCAACAGGAGACAAATCTCATGTCTCCACTAGAGTCATGGGCACTTATGGATACTGTGCTCCTGAGTACGCAATGACAGGACAGTTAACAGTCAAATCAGATGTCTACAGTTTTGGTGTGGTTTTTCTTGAGCTCATTACTGGTCGAAAGGCAATAGATACTGACATGCCTCATGGAGAGCAGAATCTAGTAGCTTGGGTAAAACAAACTCATCATATCCACTTGTTTTTACATTCACTTTAACATTCTCTTATGGAGAGCTTTTTTGGTGTATATAACAGGCTCGCCCATTGTTCAACGACAGGAGGAAGTTTATAAAACTAGCTGATCCTAGGTTAAAAGGGAGGTTTCCAACGCGTGCACTGTACCAAGCATTAGCTGTGGCTTCAATGTGTATCCAAGAGCAGGCGGCTACACGTCCACTCATAGCTGATGTGGTTACTGCACTCTCATATCTTGCAAACCAAGCTTATGATCCTAACAAAGAAGATAGTAGGAGAAACCGAGATGAAAGAGGTGGGAAGTTAATAACAAGGAATGATGAAGGAGGTGGCTCTGGAAGTAAATTTGATCTAGATGGTTCAGAGAAGGAAGATTCTCCGAGAGAGACAACTCGGATCTTGAACAGAGACATTAACAGGGAGCGTGCGGTTGCAGAGGCAAAAATGTGGGGAGAGAGTTTGAGGGAGAAACGAAGACAGAGTGAGCAAGGAACTTCAGAGAGCAACAGTACCGGTTAGAACCGGTTTGGGTCTTTGACCCCTTTTTGGTTCTTATATTATTACTCATTTATTCTGATGAAACATAGAAGAAGAAGAAAAAAACATTGTGACAAAAGAGTTGATGTACATTATATATGTGATGTTTTTACAATATGGGCAAAACTGGGACTCTTTTTTAAAAAAAAAATAAACCAAACTCTAATTGAAGAATCTGGAGAGATGATGATGTTCATGTAAGTTTCTGTAGTCTTTTCTTATTCTTGATTTTTGACAGATTGTCTTTGTGATGTGTCACATGTGGCGGGTTTTGACATTTGATCGATGATTGAATTGCAAAGATCCAAGAATCAAGATTAGTGTTTCTGTAGAGTTTCTTCTTCTGTGGTCTGGGTAATGTCCACACTAGCGTAGGTTTCGGACAACGTGGGGCACATGCCCTCGCAATCTGACAATTATTTTAAGGATAGCTATCGTGATTGTAAGAGTATATGGTTGGTCTTATCAAGTCCTTGTCGGGAACATTTTTTACTTTTTGACAGTGAACCACTCTTGAGATGGGTTTCTTATTTTTCCAAATTGTTTCTTTTTCTATCTGTGATCTCTAAATATTCGGAGGATGACTCGAAAATTCGTGTGTTTAGCAAAATAAGGAAAAAGCCAGGCAGCTAAGTATTTAATTATATCAAATTACTTTAAGATAATTTAATCATATAGTACTAAATCAGTTGTTGGTTACAACAAAAGAATATTGTATATCGCCTCTATAATCCTACTTTTTTTTTTTTTTTTTTTTTTTTATAATCCTACTTTAAGTGAGTGTACAGAGACTGATCGTCACTTGTGGAGTTATTGATGATGTAATTCAGCTTCTCATTGTACAAAACGTTACATGAATTACATATATATTAGCTAGCAGACAAACCTTTACTGAAATACAGGAACGTCTCGACGTAAAAAAATAAATAAAATATTCTTTGTAAAAATGGGTGCATCTTAAATTTACTTGATTCTTTTCATCAAAATAGTTATACATAAAACCACCTGAGGCTAATATTAAAATTTGAAATAATATCAAGATTTAGTTGGATTGTTTGATATATCTATATATAGTAAACTGAGCCTAGCTGATAAATATGTAGTTCATGTAAGAGCATTATAGTTTTAACTTACAAAGATAATTTATTCACTTTAAAAGATAAATTTTATAACATAAAACTTTATGCAAGTATACATCAATGATAGTAAATAAGATAGGAAACAAAAATGGAACCAAACCACCGATCGATACAGTTTCTTCCTTTGGCCGGCCGACGAGCCAAGGCCCAAGAGAAAGAGAAAGGGTGAGAGAGAGAGAGACATTTTGCTTCTTGTTGAAATACATTTGACACTTCAAACAGTTTCACGACGGGCAGTCTCCACGTGGCACTTCCCGTCATCAGTTGCCGGCTTCTCGTTAGTAACTTTGGATGGATCTTCAGCGTCAGAGAATGGGTCCACCGGTTCAGTCACTTTGACGTCAATCGGGTGCACTTCTGACACACCTAACGGACTCATCACGACAACACTCTTAAGTTGTTGTTCTGATGGATTCATCTTTTTCTCAACATCTAGTTTATCCCCTGAATTTCTGTAAACACCGTACAAAACCATTTGTACCATCCCTAGTATGAATCCCAACACGTTTGGAATCTAGAAAAATCAGTAAAAAAAAAAAAATCTTAGTTACCTCTTTTACCGTTTTTGTTTTTTTTACCAAAAATATCAAAAAAATAAATGCTTACAGCTATGCATATGTCGTGAAGGAATAATCCATAAGCAAACCACATAACGGCGCTTATAGTGAGGAAGAAAGAAAGCGTGAATGGCATGAATTCCACACTCTTTGTTTTTATCACACGCGCCTTTTAATTACAACAACAACAAAAACAAAAGTTTAAACGTTAGTTTAGCCCAAAATTGTATTAAGTTTGTGAGTTAAATTGAAATAACTCTTAGTTACCACTATCATTAGAGGGGCAGCGAAAACAGAAACAGAAATGGCAACGCAAATCCAGCCGAGGACAGAGACTTGTAGGCTAGGTCTTTTAACCACAAAATGTGTAACCATTAGAATCAATGAGAAGAAAGCTACGTTTATCGTTAGGAACAACTTCATAGCCGCGATCTGCAACGCATAAGAGAGAAAACTTAGAGCTATATATCGCTTTTTTAAAAAATACAAGGAGCAAAAGATGAGGAAGATTAAGCAAAAATTACCCTTTTCTCCCTGGTAGCGTAAGTGAAGAACATGGCGATGTAAATAGTCTCCACAACGCAGCCGAAGGAGTTGATAGTAATTAAGAGAAAAGCGCCTTGCTTAATCAATGCGTAACAGAGCCATAACATGCAGCTAAACAGCGACACTTGGTACGGTAGAGACTGGAAACTTTCGGTAGATTTCTTCTTGTATATTCTATAAAACGTAGGCCTGCAAAATTTTCACAAAAAGGTTAATATCTAATCATCCTTAAATAATTATTTTATAGATAACCATCTTATGTACTTACACTGGAGCGAGGAATACAAGGAAGGATATTGCGTTTCCTGAAAGTTTATGAAAAAAATACACAGTAAAAAGTGAGTTGATTGTAGAATTAAAAGGCATCTAGTTTTGTGGAGACATAAGTAAATGAATCAAGCCGACATCTTTAACAAAACTCAACGAGGAATAAATTGCTGCATCAACCACACTACACGTACCGAGTGTATGGGTAACAACGCGTGACGCTTTCAATTTGTAAAGCTTTTTTTTATTTTGGTAGTTTAGTTTTTATAAATGAAGAAAATTCTAGAAACAAAGTAAGAAATATATTACATGCACATATTGGTAGATGGGTCATGATGAACTTGCCATAATTTCAATATTGTTTCATTTCTTAATAATTTATTTGTTTAATTCACGTCTTACTAGTACAATGGAACCGTACACATAGTTTATAATATATCTATAAATAGAAGCTTAGATACGAAGTTGCAACATTATAGTTGTCGTTGCAATTCTTTACTATATAAATATATACCCGGCCCGTTTTATAATGGTTTTCGTCTAGTTAAAACATATATTAACAAGTCAAAAAAATAAATAGAATCAGAGAGAAAAGAGAACGGCTAGCTGAAGAACAAACTAGCTAGGATTTGGCTTTGTGGATATATCATCATAACATTACCTAAGATGCCGAAGACGATAGCGAGCAAATGGTGATTGATCATGACGCCCATTTTCTGAAGATTTCGAGAAGAAGCTTTTCTCGTACAGAGACTTCTAGAGGGTCTCAGTTTTTTTTTTTGAAACCCTAAGGCTTTCAAAACTCTCTCGCTCTTTTCTCTTTCTCTAAGATGCTTCTCTTTATTTTATGGAGGAAACTGATGAGGCTCAGGTGGTTTATATATAGCACCAAAATAACCACTATAGTCAAAATGTTTTTTATTTGAAGTGTGTAACGTGTTGAGGTATGATAAAAACAAAAAATAATCGAAAAGGGGAAACGAACTCAGCCTGGTTGCATGACAAGTGGAGAAACTAGTAGGTAGCGTTGCATTTTATCATTCACTAAACTCTAATTCTTTTCTTGCCCACTCGCATCTCACACGAGCGTGGCTGTGCGTTACATTCCACAATTTCATTTTCTTCACGCCTTCTTCTTAAACTAGCTTTCAGAAATCAGATTAATACCTTCTTTGGCAAAACAAAAATCAGATTAATACCATAGCAAGCTTCCACTTTTTAGACTATAGATGAATTACATGGTCACCAGAAGTCTACCCAATAACAACCAACATAGAGTAGATTAACATCACTAGATTTCAATGCGATTTGTATTTATTATTTTCATATTATTTTTTTAATTCGCATATATATGAGTTGGACGATCCAAAATATCCCACCTATCTATTTGATGAACGCAATAAATAGACTTAGTTCACAATAACATCCTTCTTGATAAATCATAGGATAATTAATGTCAAATTTGCTTACAGTGACATTAACTGTTTTGTTTTTATTCTCTTTATATAAACAGATGACGTATAGGTTTAATGTGAATCGGTATTTGTCAAGGAGACTAGGTGAAAATGATCATATCAAGGATCTATAACAGCTTATAGACTAGGTAAATTAGTGTTTAAAAGCATCTATACGCAGAAAATGGGAGCCGTTTTCTTTAAACTTATTATAGTATTTTCAACAATCAAAGTGGAACGTAAAAAGCAAAAAACAAAATCATTGACATTTCCTGATCAGTTGCTCCTGGTTTAGAAGAACACGTTTATATGCCTTGCAGTAAAAGAAAACGATAAATCATGCATTTTTTTGTTCACTAAATCATACATCTTTTAGGCAAAACTCCACGCGTCAAAAGGGTTGCGACTTGCGCGTGAGAATAATTAGTTGATTGAGGTAATAACACAGATCGATGCGTTACGGGAGAGGCGTAACAATATAGGCATGAACAGAAAATCTTGTGCAAATCACGTGACCTCTCGAAACGAAACGCTTCTACTGATAGCTGTTTCTTTTAGAGTTTGTAGAGACACACGAGAGCTATATACCACGTTATCGAGTGTTGAGTAGACACATTCTTTCTCTTCTCTCTGCTTTCGTGTCTTCGGTACATTTTCTGTTTCTGCTCATCTTCTCTTGTTTTAATCCCCATTTTCAGGAACACATCGTTTTTATAATTTAATATATATTTCAGTTTGATGTAAAAATGATTCTTTTTGTTAATTTCTATTTTTTGAATAAATTCTCTAAACGTTTATGTATTTAAAAACTGGTAAAAGTCTACTACTGTAGTAATATCCATCAGTATCTTGAGAGACTGGTTGAGTACATATATATTTTATTCGTTCGTTTGTTTCAATATCGATGATGAAAGTAATCAGAATAATTTGGAAAAAGTTTGAGAAAATACAAAATAATTCTCCATTTTTCGAGAGTAAGTTATTAAAAGTAGGAAGAAATGGACAAAAGAGTTGTGACGTGGTAGGCGAATGATAACAATGATCATGGGTTTGTTAAATCTTTCTTGTTCTTATGCGTTATTTGTTTCTCTTTCTCTATATTATTTCTTTTTATTTGGCACCAATTTTTTAAAAATCGATGAGAGGTGCCACTTTTGTGGTTCTCCTCGACCTTAATTTTTGCATCTCTATTTATTTATTTTTTAAAAATTGGTTTTACCTTACATTTTTTAAAATGTTTGGCTTAATATGTTCTTGGCTCACCTACGTTCCCATACTGTTTTTGCTCTCCCCTTAACTTATTTGCACTGTTTTTTTCAAATATACAGTGCATATAAACATTTTTTCCTTCGATGATTTTTTTTTTTTGCTAAACCCCTTCAATAAAATAGTTTTCTGCAACTCTTATTTCCTTATATAAATTATGAAAGGCTAGTTTTTTTTTAAATGCTCCCAAATCCAATTATGTTTGTTTTCCATCTTACATATATATATATATATATAACTTTTTGGGGTATAGTATCTTACTATAAAACTATACATCTTTGATGGCACAGTAACACGTGACATAGGCATTATTTCCTACGAAGGCTCAATTAGTTTGGTTAGAGTTGGCATGTGTCGATAACTAATATTTTCATCATATAAAAGCTCCAGTTCTTAAATTTCTTCGTTGTTAATTTTTTACGTTATATCCATCAATATATTAATGGGAAAACAAGAAATGGAAACAAACCAATAGAAAATTATTTTCTTTTTAACGTACCAATAGAAATTTCTAGAATTGATATTTGCTTATTTGGCAGAACTAACCAAATAAAATAAAAAGAAATACAACAGAAATCATCGGCCGATCAAACCTCAATAATTCAAGAACCTAGGTGACCCACATTGACAAATGATATATACGTATTAATCTGTATATGTTGCCACCACACATAAAGGAAAAATGTCAAGCATGTGGGTGAATTAGACCTCCCCTAGCCAATCGTTTTCTTATTCTAATCGGTTCCAACGAATCTAGCTTTACACACACATACATTTATATAGCTATGCTACATTTTTTTGGATAAAAAGCTATGTTACATTTATATATCTTTCAGTGACGAATACTTATGGTTAATTTGTTAGCGAACTTCTTAATGTTTTAACAAATATATATATATATCACTATGTCATTATGATCGCTCTATTTAACATATATTAATCATAATAACAGAAGTTTGTTTGTATTAGTAAAAATCGTGAATATATGTTTCATGGAGATAAACCAATACTATTCATCAATCAGAATAACAGAAGTGTAGTTTTATGTATTATTATGAAATTATTAATCATGAATATAGGGTTTGAGTGAAATCAGTTTCCTATTCTATTTTATTTTTCTGACTAATCCTATTATATTCTTTTTAATAACAAAAGTATTTTGGGACATAGACTATATCTACTGGGATCTTGGAGCATATAAGTAATTATTTTTATTCATCAAAATTACCGAGACTAACTCCAATATATTTTGCTAATTCTTTTTTTTTTATAATAGAAATAAGATTTACTCCGATATATTTCTTTAACATAGCAGTCTCTAAATATATAGTAAAATATAGATAAAAACTATTTATTCTCTTAAGGAAAAAAATAATTTCTATTTTAAAGAAGGAAAGATATTGGTTGAAATAGTTTTATTTCTAGATACTTTGAGCGCTTCTGTTTTTTCAATAATCATCTATTAATACTAGATCCGCCTCCCCGTACGGATATTGACTTATGTGTTTATAAATTGATATTATATTTATCTTTTAAGATTAGTGTTATAAATTTTAAATGTATTATTATATAATGAATCGAGCATTATAGTTACTTTTGGTACAAATATCTGAATCCATCGGTAATTTGGATATTTTTAGATTTCTATACATCAGAATCGAATACAAGTAAACTTGTGAGGATCCGACTCGAACACACACCAAAAAATTATAATACTCAAGTGGACCTAATTTCAAAACTCAAAAAAATTAATACCCAAAAGAAAAATATGTACTTAAACGATGCTCATACCAAACTAATTTTGTAAACAAATAAAAAGTTCTTTGTTAAACATATTGATATCATGTTAGAAGTTTCATTTAAATATTTTGAATAACTATAGTTAACATGTAAAAAATGTTTTCGAATTATTACGGTAAAGATAATTAAATAAATATTTAAGAATGAAACAAAGAAATATTAAAAGACTTCAAAATATGTAATTTTTGTTTTTACTTCTGTAATAGATATTATCTAATTATTTGGATAAGATAATAAATAAATTATTTAGAATGTATTGGAAAGGAAAGTGAAAATTGTAAAAAAAAAACTACATTTAAGAAAATAATTTTTGTACTTTTGTTTTAATAGAATAGATTATACACCAATTTAGTTGCATACGCTGAGTCTAAATTGCACTCTTATCATACGTTAATAAAGGAAATAAATAATGAATGCATTTCTAAAAGTTTGAAATGGGTTTATATTTATTTTCTATTATTCAAACATATACATACATATATGAAGCCGGATTTGGACTAAAGACCATAAAACAATGATTTAGACGTCAAATTTCACAATTATTTTAAGAATATACTAGAAATTATATAAATTAATTTTGGTAAATCAATAAATATCATAAATTAACTTAAAAATTTTGGTCTCAAGGGAACATTCAAAATATAATATAAATCGATAAAATAATATGTTTTAGAAAATCCTCTGTAAATATATTGGCTCATTACAATTATAAATTACGAATTTTTTTTATATATCTTTTATATAGTACAGATAAATAATTGTTTGTTTTATATGCTTAATGGAATTATATTTATATTTTCTTAACACTTCATATATTTTGATGAGATTTAATTAATAAACTTACATCTAAAAGCATATATAAATTCTATGAAATATATTTAATATACACCAAATAATATAATAAAACCAATATGAGTAATGAATTTCAAAAAGTTAATTAATGCATATACACTAAAATCAAATATTTTTCTTATTTTAGAAATAACATATTTTGAAATTTTCATAAATTAATAACTCTATAAATTAATAAAATATCATAATCCCAATATTATTAACTTATAGAATCTTTATTGTACATTTGATGTAGTGGGGGTTTACCTTCTATATGAGTCTTAGATCATTAGAGGGATCCAACATCTAAAAGGCATGCAGTATTTTATAAAATGTGTTGTAGGAGTCAAATTACTTAGGAC